AAGGGACTTGTTGATTCTGGAATAGTTGAGATTCCAAGAATTTTCATTAGGCCACCTCATGAACTTGCTGAGGAGTTGAATATATGCAAGTCAACTCTACAGGTTCCGGTGGTGGATCTCAGTGGCATACACGTTGAAGATGGGCGTAAGAAGATTGTTGATGAAATAAGGGAAGCATCTGAGAAATGGGGCCTTTTCCGACTGACAAATCATGGGATTCCTTCAAGTGTTTTGGAAGGAATGATCGATGGGACTCGTAAATTTCATGAACAAGATGTTGAAGTGAAGAAAGAGTACTATTCGTCTGATCCGACAGCCAGAAAAGTTAGATATGATAGCAATCTTTATGTGAACAAAACAAAAGGAAAGATTGCAAACTGGAAGGATACATTATACATCTTTGAGCTAGATTCTGGTCACCTTGAACCTGAAGAAATACCAGAAGTATGCAGGTAATCTGCGTTTTCTGCATTTGAATTTCAATTCTATATCTGTCCTGTTTGATGCGTACACGATGTTGAAGTTCTTGCATTAAATCTAAGGATTTATTGAGTAGAGCCTGAGTGTTCTATCTTCATTTCTAATTGATATGTGGATACATGTTGCCAGTAGCAGATCTAGAGTATAACTTAAGGGGTCACGGGAACTTAGTACCTGTTGCCAAACCTTGTGTATAAATATTTGATTGTGATCCAATTATTAATGAATATGATACCTTGTCCTCATGTAGTAATCTCTGATTTTTTCCTTATGTCCAGGAAAACATCCCTTGAGTACATAAATCATGTCATAAAACTAGAAGATACTCTTCTTGGCTTACTATCAGAAGCTCTCGGGCTAAAGACAAACCACTTAAAAGCCACTGAATGTGACAAAACACAGTCAATGGTATGCCATTACTACCCGGCATGCCCACAGCCAGAGCTAACTCTTGGTACCGACAAGCATACAGATCCTGTTTTCCTTACCATTCTGCTACAAGATCATAATGGTGGGCTCCAAGTCATGCGTGATAACCAATGGGCCGATGTTACACCGATTGAACATGGTTTGGTTGTTAATATTGGTGACCTCCTTCAGGTTTGCAACAAAACATAACTTTTTGTTATCATTTTTTCACAAATTTTTACTCATCTGAATCTGATTTTGTAACAGATCCTATCGAATGATAAGTTTGTAAGTGCAAATCATAGAGTTGTAGCGAACAAGATAGGACCAAGGATTTCAGTGGCATGCTTCTTCAATGGTCTTTTAGCACCTTCAAAGATGTATGGTCCAATCAAAGAGCTCATATCTAAAGAAAACCCCCCACTATATAAAGATTTTCAAATAGTTGATTATGTTACCAAGTTTTTCTCGAAGCCTGTCGATAAGACTGGCCTTGATCTTTTCAGACTGTGAAGAGAGTTAGATCACCATAAACCATCAGATATAAGAACAATGTCAGAGTTTGTGATTTACTGTACAATAAATGTCGTTTCTTTTTTCAAATAAAGGAATAATAATGTATTGACTATAATCGTTCATCCTCGTTTAGCAATATCGGATCAGCTTTGTATGATATCCATTGTATCTTTCAATTTTTGTTATTCAACTTTTAAGTTAGGATCTTTTCACCAATATCATCATAGTATGATGACGATGATGTTGTTGTTCAACGTTCTTGCTTCTGCATCTTTTCAAAAGTCATGTGGGCATTTATGATTTACAAAAACATACCTAGTAATTCCACTAGTGGAGTGTGGGAGGAGTAGAGTCTATAGAGACCTTACGTTCTTTCCGATAGACCCCTTAAGGAAAAGCATACACTGAAAAAAAGAAGAAGGAAATAGTACGATAATCAGAGTACAAATGACAGTAGATAGTAACAGAAATTTGACGATATGTAAAAGTTATGAAAGAAATACCAACTACTGAGGACAAGAAATTATAGGAGAAATACTACGACTACTAATAAGGGAAGGATAAGCAATATAAGCAGCCCAACACCGGACCCTGTAGTTTCTTGTTCCCTATGAGTGTTTGTGTTCCCCTCTTCTCTTCATTCCCATTATCTACGGAAAAAAGGACCAAAAATACCCCAAACTATTGCAAAAGGTGTAAATAAACACTTTGTTCATCTGTTTTGCTAAAAGTATCCTATGATATATTTTTGGCAACCAGTTGAACTTATAAAAACAGATGGGATATAGAATAAGAATATGATATATTCATAAATAATTCTTTCTTCTTTCATCTTTCATTCAATTTATTATCTTACCCTTTAATTGAGTAACAAATTGGAGAAGAGGAAAGGTTAGGTAGTTTAGAGAGTCGGTAGGCATTTAAAAAATAAATAAAGAAATGAAAGGACTCTTGTCTGTAACACCTTCTCAAGAAAACCAAAATTTTTAAATATTAAAAGTTGCCATCAACATTCTCTTTATTCTTCCTATTTTACATTTTTTTATTTTATTAAAAATAAGTATGGGAAGACATTACAACTCTTTACAAAAAATGTGGAAAGGTATTTTGGTAATCCAACTTTTAACTTGGAGATTTCGCAATTATAATATAGTATGACGATGATATGATGATTAAAAGTTGAATTGATTAATATTTTTTACTGCAACTACTCAATTATTTGTTAGGGGTTTTATTTAATAAACTGCTGTTAACAAATGTTTATTTTATGGGATGTTCAAAATATTTTGAAAATTCAACCATCTAATTAGTAGTCTTTTTGTTCTAAGGCTGAAATTAGCAATGGATTATGATCCATCGGATGAGAAAAAGGCTATTGATGATGCAAAAGCTGGTGTTAAGGGACTAGTTGATTCTGGAGTAGTTGAGATTCCAAGAATTTTCATTAGGCCACCTCATGAACTTGCTGAGGAGTTGAATATGTGCAAGTCAACTCAACAGGTTCCAGTCGTGGATCTAAGTGGCATACACGTTGAAGATGGGCGTAAGAAGATTGTTGATGGAATAAGGGAAGCATGTGAGAAATGGGGCCTTTTCCAACTGATAAATCATGGAATTCCTTCAAGTGTTTTGGAAGGAATGATCGATGGGACTCGTAAATTTCATGAACAAGATGTTGAAGTGAAGAAAGAGTACTATTCGTCTGATCCAACAGCCAGACAAGTTAGATATGAGAGCAATCTTCTTCAGTACAAAACAAAAGGATTGACTTCAAACTGGAAGAATACATTATACATCTCTGAGCTAGTTTCTGGTCACATTGAACCTGAAGAAATACCACAAGTTTGCAGATAACTCTGTATTTTCTGCACTTGAATTTCAATTCTATATCTGTCCTGTTTGATGCGTACACGGTGTTGAAGTTTTTGTATTAAATCTATGGATTTATTGAGTAGAGGTCACTGCCTCAGTACAGTGTTCTATCTTCATTTCTAGTTGATATATGGATACATGATGCCAGTAGCGGATCTAGAGTATAACTTAAGGGGTCAAGGGAACTTAGTACCTTTTGCCCAAACCTTGTATATAAATATTTGACTGTGCATATCAACCTTGTCCTCATGTAGTAATCTCTGATTTTTTCCTAATGTTCAGGAAAACATCCGTTGAGTACATAAATCATGTTGTAAAACTAGAAGATATTCTTCTTGGCTTACTATCAGAAGCTCTCGGGCTAAAGCCAAACCACTTAAAAGCCACTGAATGTGACAAAAGACAGTTAATGGTATGCCATTACTACCCTGCATGCCCACAGCCAGAGCTAACTCTTGGTACCGAGAAGCATACTGATCCTGTTTTCGTTACCATTCTGCTTCAAGATCAGAATGGTGGGCTCCAAGTCATGTGTGATAACCAATGGGCAGATGTTACACCAATTGAACATGGTCTGGTTGTTAATACTGGTGACCTTCTTCAGGTTTGCAACAAAACACAACTTTTTGTTCTCATTTTTTCATAAACTGTTACTCATCTCAAACTGATTTTGTAACAGATCCTATCAAATGACAAGTTTGTGAGTGCAATTCATAGAGTTGTAGCAAGAAATGTGGGACCAAGGATTTCAGTGGCATGCTTCTTCAGCGGAGTTTCTACACCTCCTAAGACGTATGGTCCAATCAAAGAGCTCATATCGGAAGAAAATCCCCCACTATATAAAGAATTTCAAGTAGTTGATTATGTCACTAAGTATTTCTCCAAGCCTCTTGATAAGACTGGTCTTGATCTTTTCAGACTGTGAAGAGAGACGTAGTCAGAATTTGTGATTCGCTGGACAATAATGTCATCTTTCCTATTCTGTTGTATATTTTCAAATAAAAAGGGATAAATCTCAAGAACATACTCCCTTATGTATCCTTCATTTTGTTCCTCTAATAATAATAATATATGGACTATCATCATTCATCCGCTTTTAGAAAAATCGGATCATTTTCATATGAGATCCATTGGATTTTCCAAGTGATGAGTATTCACTGCTGTTTTAATAAGCCAACAATCTATTTTCAGGATACAATTGAAAGTGCCTAGAACTTGCAGCCTTTTTTTTCTCTGGTGTTTGTAATCTAAAACCTTGATGGTGTTTAGTGAATTTGTTGGTGAAATACTACGTGGTAGGTCGTGATTTTTTCCTTGCTTGAGGAAGAAGGTTTGCACATAAACATCATGTGTTGTACCAGTATTATGAGAAGGTGAAGGGAGAGTGTTTTGTACGCGTATGTGCTTCTGGTTTTTTTGTCTTCTTGATTATAATAAGGAACTTGATAATAAAATGAATATAATTAGGGGTTGAATAATACAACTTGCAACGTTGATAATAACTTGATCAATTGATTAATATCAATTATTACAACCACTCAACTATTATTTGTTTTTTATGAACTGCTCTTAACAAATCTTTGTTTTATGCTAAAGGAATATATTATAAAATTATAATGGGATGTTTAATATGTTTATGAAAACTATGTTTTGAAAATGCAACCATCTAAGTAGTACTCTCTTTGTACCAAATCTTGTAAAACTTTCTCAAGTTGAATTTAGCAATGGATTATGATCCATCGGATGAGAAAAAGGCTATTGATGATACAAAAGCGGGTGTTAAGGGACTAGTTGATTCTGGAATAGTCAAGATTCCAAGAATTTTCATTAGGCCACCTCATGAACTTGCTGAGGAGTATGTGCAAGTCAACTCAACAGGTTCCGGTGGTGGATCTAAGTGGCATAGAAGTTGAAGATCGGCGTAAGATCATTGTTGATGAAATAAGGGAAGTATCTGAGAAATTGGGCCTTTTCCAAGTGATAAATCATGGGGTTCCTTCAAGTGTTTTGGAAGGAATGATTGATGGGACTCGTAAATTTCATGAACAAGATGTCGAAGTGAAGAAAGAGTACTATTCGTCTGATCCAACAACCAGACGAGTTAGATATGATGGCAATGTTCATATGTACAAAACAAAAGGAAAGACTGCACACTGGAAGGATACATTGTCTGTTGCTGGGCTAGTTTCTGGTCACATTGAACCTGAAGAATTACCAGAAGTTTGCAGGTAAACTATGTATCTTCATTTCTAGTTTATATTTATGGTATTTTATAACTTAGTAGTCTCTGATATTTTCTTAAATGTCCAGGAAGGAATACGTTGAGTACACAAATCATGTCGATAAACTAGGGGAAATTCTTTTTGGCATACTATCAGAAGGTCTTGGGCTAAAACCTGATCAGTTGAAAGCTACAGAATGTGCCAAAGAACAAGGGATGACATGCCATTACTACCCGGCATGCCCACAGCCAGAGCTAACTCTTGGTACCGACAAGCATACAGATCCTGTTTTCCTTACGTTTATCCTTCAAAATCAGATTGGTGGGCTCCAAGTCATGTGTGATAACCAATGGGCCGATGTTGAACCAATTGAACATGGTTTGATTGTTATTATTGGTGACCTTCTTCAGGTTTGCAACAAAACACAAACTTTTTTGTTCTCATTTTATCACAAACTGTTACTCAATCTGATTTTGTAACAGATCCTATCAAATGACAAGTTTGTAAGTGCAATTCATAGAGTTGTAGCAGAAAATGTAGGACCAAGGATTTCAGCGGCAAGCTTCTTCACTGGAGGTTCTACATCTCCGAAGATGCATGGTCCAATCAAAGAGCTCATATCAGAAGAAAATCCCCCACTATATAAATAATTTCAAGTAGATGATTATCTCACTAAGTTTTTCTCCAAGCCTCTTGATAAGACTGGTCTTGATCTTTTCAGACTCTGAAAACAGACCAACCTCCACGTCGCCTAGCACCAGCAAAAACCATCATAAAAGACTATCATCATTCAGTTGTCGATCAAAATTTGATCTGAAATTCTAGGACTTCTGTAATTTCGCTTCATGTTAAAGTTGAATAACTTTCTATGGAAATGATTCATAGTTTAGTGACCATCTAAAATTTTAGGACTTCGGTAATTTCGCTTCAAGTTAAAGTTGAATAACTTTCTATAGAAATAATTCATAGTTTAGTGACCATCTGAAATTCTAGAACTTCTGTAATTTAGCTTCAAGTAGTTGCGCAATTATGGGATAATTGAATTATATATATATTTTTTCATTTCATCTTCATAATCATGTTACATAATACTATTCATTTTTCTGATAAAGTTAGCCATTCAGTAAGTGATGTGACACCTTTTTTTTAGCCAATAATTCAAATTATTGGTTTTATTTTATATGACACTTTTTTTTGTTTGTTTCGAAAAAGATTATCAGTTTATTATAATTAAAAATAATTTAACTTTAAAATTCCGCTAGCCTTAATGAAATAATTTTCAGTCATACAAATATTTAAGAATTGTTTTAGACTATAAGTTATAAAAGTTTTGCTTTTTTTTTTATTAATACCGTGTCAAATTAAAGGGCTCACATAAAATGAAATGGAGAAAATATTCTTGCCTTTTCCCGTTATTTCTACTAAAGCCAAACAAAGGTCGATTAATGACATTTTAACCATTTTCATTATTTATATTAGGGCAACTGTGTCATATTATAACCTTGCTTTTTTTAGTTCATTCATCTCCACATATTTCTTATCTATCTGATAAAAAGTGTCAAAAATCAAAGGGTGTTATTTCAAAAAAAAATAAAAATCATAAAAAAAACGTGTCAAAAATCAAGTGGTGCTATTTTTTTTTTAAAAATCATTAAAAAACGTGTCAAAAATCAAGTGGTGCTATATTAGATAAGGATTCTCCACATATCTCTCATCTATCTAATATATATAATCATTTCATCTCCGAGTAATATTCATCTATTTTTCAGTTTTGGTTTGGGTCTTCTCTGGCGATATTCACTTGTAAGTTCTTCTTACCTTTTTTTCTAAATAAAAAAAGTTATTCTTACTTTATTATTGTCTTGCTCTCCATCTCTTTTCATTTCACTTTAGCTGTGGCAAATTGAGCTAGTATTATATTCTTGCATTAGGGGTAGGGGTGTCAAAATGAGCTCAAATATAAGTAATTCGTTCAAAATTTTATAAGTTCCGCTTAAGATAATTTGAATTAGATCAACCTTAACTAGTGTCGGCAATATAGACCCATTTTCATTGACCCGCCCACATTAAATATGGGTTGAGAGAGTGATTTTTCTGTTAATACTTGTCCCTTTTCTTACATTTTTCACATTATGTGATAAACTGCTGTTAACTAATGTTTATTTTATGGGATGTTCAATATGTTTTGAAAATTCAACCATCTAATTAGTAGTCTTTTTGTTCTCAGGCTGAAATTAGCAATGGATTATGATCCATCGGATGAGAAAAAGGCTATTGATGATACAAAAGCGGGTGTTAAAGGACTAGTTGATTCTGGAATAGTGGAGATTCCAAGAATTTTCATTAGGCCACCTCATGAACTTGCTGAGGAGTTGAATATGTGCAAATCAACTCTACAGGTTCCGGTGGTGGATCTCAGTGGCATACACGTTGAAGATGGGCGTAAGAAGATTGTTGATGAAATAAGGGAAGCATGTGAGAAATGGGGCCTTTTCCAACTGATAAATCATGGAATTCCTTCAAGTGTTTTGGAAGGAATGATCGATGGGACTCGTAAATTTCATGAACAAGATGTTGAAGTGAAGAAAGAGTACTATTCATCTGATCCAACGAGAAAAGTTGGATATAAGAGCAGTCTTCATGTGCACGGATCAGAAGGAATGGCTGCAACCTGGAAAGATTCATTACAGATTCACAATGAACCAGAAGACATACCACCAGTTTGCAGGTAATTAACTCTGTATCTGTCCTGTTTCAGGTGTTGTGTATATATTGATGTTTTTGCATTACATATGGTTGATATTTGGATACGTGTTGTCACTTGCGAATGTAGAGTATAACTTAAGGGATCACGGGAACCTAGTACCTTTTGCCCAAACCTTGTATATAGAAAGAAATATCTGTAAATATTTGACTATGAATCCAATCATTAGCTACAGGGGATTCCAACTCCTTCTAAAGCGCACAATTGTTTGATCTTTGTGGATTTTTTTTGCAACTTATTAACCTCTGATCTTTTCCTAATGTCCAGAAAATCAGTCCTTGAGTACAGAAATCATATCATAAATCTAAAACACATTCTTCTTGGCTTACTATCAGAGGCTCTTGGGCTAAATCCCAACCACTTGAAAGCTACCGAATGTGATACAGAACAAACGTTGGCATGCCATTACTATCCGGCATGCCCACAGCCAGAGCTAACTCTTGGTACTGGTAAGCATACAGATGCTGCTTTCCTTACCATTCTGCTTCAAGATCAGAGTGGTGGACTCCAAGTCATGCGTGATAACCAATGGGCTGATGTTGAACCGATTGAACATGGTTTGGTTGTTAATATTGGTGACTTTCTTCAGGTTTGCAATAAAACACAACTCTTTTGTTCTCATTTTTTTCACAAACTGTTACTCATCTCAATCTGATTTTTAAACAGATCCTATCAAATGACAAGTTTGTAAGTGCAAGTCATAGAGTAGTAGCGAAAAATGTAGGACCAAGGATTTCAGTGGCTTGCTTCTTCACCGGAGGTTTTTCACCTTCGAAGATGTATGGTCCAATCAAAGAGCTCATTTCAGAAGAAAATCCCCCACAATATAAAGAATTTGATGTATCTGATTATCTCGCTAAGTATTTGTCCAAGCCTCTTGGTAAGACTGGTCTAGATCTTTTCAGACTGTGAATAGAGACCGAACACCACATCGCCAAGCAGCAGCAAAATCCATCTGAAAAGACTATTATCATTCAGACAGAACAATGTCCATCAGAGTTTGCGATTCGCAGTACAATAATGTATTGTTGTATAACAATGTCTTACCTATTCTGTTGTGTATTTTCAAATAAAGAGATTAATCTCAAGAACATACTCCCTTATGCATCCTTCAATTTGTTCCTCTAATAACGTATGCACTATCAGATCAGTTCCATTGGATCTGATAGTGTCAATATCGACTCGTTTGTCAATACAATATATTCATTTACTAAATGTTATATATTGTGTATATATAGTGAAAAATCACAGGTAAGATTATTTTCTTCTTAATTATAACTTCTTAGAGTATCATGAAACTGTATTTTCTTGTTTGTGTAAATTTTGGTTAGGAATCAATTTACATAATTTAACTAATATTTTATTTGTTAAATTCACAGATGATAGAACTAATAATTTTGAATTAGACAAAATGTACACGTACCTATAATAATTATGATTTATCTACATCGATTAGATATTTTAGCAATTATTATTTTTATCATTAATAATAACTATTTTTTTGTAGGTGTACACCACAAAATTGACAATGATCCACTAGCTATCATAAGAAAGGTATATGTTGATCTAATTTATGTGCAATTTTTACAAAACACAATTCACATTCGACAACAACTTCTTTATCTGTATGTGATTATAAAAAGATGGAGGCTACAGTTTCTTAGAAAGAAGGCAAAAATTTTAAAATGAAATATTTTGAACCAATAAGAGACTTAAATTATGTATTCTGACATATTAAAAAAAACTTTTATCAAGTTGAATAGTTGATATATTAAAAAAATTACATAATTAAAATTATTCTAATATTACTTTTGAAATTCATTTGATAGCACTATTTCAGCATGATGTACCTTGTACTAATAATAATCTTAGATTGAATATATAGGCTCACCATTCATTGGTTTAAGCTTGTATATTTTCTCTTCAATTACTATGCAAGTTATCACACAATGATTATCTACAAGCCATCATAAGGAAGACAAGAAATATTTTGAAATTACATTTGACATTTAAATTATGAGTTATGACATATTAAACAAAAGAGACTTATTTCAAATTTAATGCTTGATATATTATAAGAATTGCATAATTGAAGTTATTGGTTTGAGCTTGTGTAATGACCCAGACCCGAAAGGTCATTTTTTGATAATTTTGAATAGTCATTTAACTATAGATAATTAATTTATGGGTAATTTGGTTATTGTTAATAATAGTGGGCCAAGTTTGAAATAATAAAATAGGTTAGTAGGAATTATTAGTTTTAATACATATTTAATTTAGAAAAGAAAATAAAGAGGACCAGAAAGAAAACTAACTTGCGGCGTGCGTTGAGCGAAGAACGAGAGTGCAGGTATACTCAATTCTGTGGATGAAAATCTCTACTTTTTAATTGCATAGGAAATCAATATATAGTTATTATATTATTAAGTTGCAATTCTTTCAATTGAATTATTATTATACGTGGGTATGGAATGAATTGGATCTTCTGCAATATTGTTGGTTTTCAAATTGATGAGCAAGTATTTATGGGTTACTGTTGACAAATTTTAGTGGAAGTAACCAATAGTTATTATTAGGGATAAGGATCTGAAAAATACCTCAACTTTGGTCAAATTTGTTGTTGCGATACTAAACTTTCATGAGGACTTATTACCTCCCTAGACTATTTAATACCGTATTTTAAACATATATATTTGCCCACGCGGACATAAAAAATAATGCAAAATTATAAATAGTAATGTGTCCACGTGGACACATATATATCTTTAAAATACACTATTAAATAGTTCAGGGGGTAAAAAATACGGTATTAAATAGTCTAGGGAGGTAATAGGTCCTCATGAAAGTTTAGTATCGCAACAACAAATCCGACCAAAGTTGGGGTATTTTTCTGACCCTTATCTCTTATTATTATTATATTAGTATAATGGTTGTATTAGATTGAAGGGGGCAATGGTGAATTCTTGGCGGCTTAGAAATTAGGGGACAAGAAACGGTGCTAATATTATTGTTGTTATTATTATTACTCCTTTTTGTTTGTTATCAATTTTTGGGGATTAGGGGAATTGAATTGTTAGGTGTATCGTATTTTTGTGAATGCCATTAGATTTACGATATTTGAAGAAATTGGAAGAATTGACAAGTTAATGGGCATCAAGACTTAGGAACTTAATTATAAATTTGGGTAAGCTTTTGGGTCTAGGCTAAACCTATAGTGACATGAGTGTTGTTAGTTTCAGAATCTTATTGTGACTATGTACTTGAATAGATTGCATTGATTTGGAAGCCTAACGAAAGGGGAAGGCTCAAGTCCCGGAGTGATTGTTCGACTATTTGAGACAAGTGGATTTCTAAACCCTTGTTAAGTGTATGGAATTTGTGTATATCCTTGTAATATGTGTTTGGGGGTAATGAGATTTGGTGATGGGTAGAATTGTCCACATTAATTAATTCTAATGATGAAAAAGGGATAATAAAAGGCAATGTGATTAACTAACTTGATTTATTATGTGTGATTGTGTTCTTTATTGAACCCGTCTACATATCATTTTGATATTTGATTGAGAGGCATATCCCTTTTATTGATATCATATCGTGCACATGCATTGACATGCGATTGACTGTGAGTAAAGTTCTAACACGTGGAGATCGTCCGTGTTGAGATCAAGTATGATTATAATGTAGGCACGTGGAGATCGTCCGTGCGAGTGATTAATTTGATTATAAGTTGGGCACGTGGAGATCGTCTGTGTCGGTATATGGACCTCGCGCGTCCTCCATGGGTCATGAACTCTCGATGTATTTCCGATGAGTATCATGTATATACGGTTGAGAGAGTATTTGGTATTCTCAGGCATATCATTTCATAGTGTCATATTGCATTGCATCTCATGACATCCTTCATTCTTGATGATTATGTGTTTTATTGGTGATTGAAAAATACTTGATATTTGATAACCTCTAATTGATGAACTTGATCTTGTGTGTTGCTGATATTTGTGAGTGCCTTTTGTGAAAGTCGTGATTGATGAATATTGAGTTTGTTATTGAGGATATGTAATTTGTTAAAGTGATTGATGTTGAGCTGGGTGCTATGTAAACTGTGAACTGTTAGGTTGGGCTGGTTTATGCAGGTTGTAGTTGTGGAGGGTCGGTTGGAGTGTAAGGAGTATACGTATTATATCCCCTTAGCTTGTGTTTAGAGGTTTACTTGCTGAGTACCGTGTGGTTTGGTACTCACCCCTTGCTTCTACATTTTTTTTGTAGGTTAAGAGCCCGGACCTTTGTGACATTTTTCTCTTCTCCTTGTCTGAGGATTCTTATGTAGGTTTGTGAGGTAGCTGCTTGTCATTTCAACGGACTTTCTTTCTCCTTAATTATGATCTTGTTCTATTCTAGAAACAATGTCATTTGAAATTTGTATTTCTTTTAATTTTGTTATAACACATTAGAGGTTTGTACACGTGACAACCAAATTTTGTGGTATTTTTGAGTTGATTATAAAATTTCCGTATTTTATTGTAATGGTTGAGTTTAGGCTGACTTGTCTTGGTGGGATAAGACGATTGCCATCACGTCCATTTTTGGGTCGTGACAGCTTGTATGTTTCTCTTCAATTTTTGGCAACTTATCACACACTTATTATAATATTTCCAAAGTTATTGTACTTAATTAGCATGGGATACACAAGCAACATACATGTCTGAGTATATAAATATCGTTATAACAACTCCACACAACTTAACATGGGACACACGTGCAACACACGTGCCTAGAACTAGTATATATATATACATATACATACTAGTCTCTGGGCACGCGCATTGCGTGTGTGTCCCATATGTCAATAATTAAAAACCTTATAAAGTTAAATAAATATTATATTTTAAAATGTAATACCAACTTAACCTCAATCAATTCATCTTACTATTTGCTTCTTTTAAAAATAAGGGTGAAATTATAACATTATAATATTAGATCGATCTTACACATAACTTTAAAGCAATGAACCAAACCTTGCATGTATAATTTATAAAAGGCGGAATGACCTGGGAGACCCCTGTAGTTGGCTCTGTTTGTCAGTTGAACCCTTCTACTCATCACTTTGCCAAAATGAACCCTTAACTCGATGAAACTCTATTTTCTAAACCCCTCTGACCATTGGTCGAGCTTATGTGGCATTAAAATGGTTGAGTTGGACAAATGTGAGACTACACGCGTTTTAAAGCAAGTGAATGCAATATTTTTATTTAAAAATTATTAAAATTATAAGACAAAATAATAATAATAAACTAAAAAAAAATCTCAAAACCTTTCTCCTTCAGCCTACCCCCACCCCTACCCCTTCTCTCTTCTTCTTCCTCAGCCCCACCCCATCTTTTTCTCTTCTTCTTCAGCCCACCCCATCTCACCTCACCCCATCTTTTTTCTCTTCTTCTTCAGCCCAGACACCCCCCGCCCCTGCCCCTACCCATTTTCTACTCTTCTTCTTAAGATACACCCCATCACCATAATCATCAAATATAAAATTAAAAAAGCTTTTGCAAGAAAACATATCATTCACCATTTTCATAAATTTAAGATCTATTACTTGAATTTACTCATAAATATATTTTTTTCAACTTGAAGTTTTTTTTTTTTTTTTTAATCAAATCAAAATAAATAGAACACAAAGCATGTGCAAGAGCTAATTACAGTCTATCATATTTTATGATTGAAAAAACTTTTGAGAGTAAAATGTGAAGAAAGATGAATGTCACGCCCCGAGCCTACACCCTGGGCGGGACCGGCACCCGGAGACCATTTCTGGCCCCAAGCGAACCCTTGGCCTGACTTTCTTAACTCAACGGAAACCTAACCCAACAGAATAACTCAATGCAATGCAATATTACAAAACAACTTAACTTATAAAA